CCCAGGCCTAGGCGGCCAATCTGGGAGGCCGTCTAGGCAGTACGGAACCGGCCTAGGAGGCCGCCTAGCACCCAGCCTTGCGCGTCCATCTAGGGCTTACGTTATTTTTTTCGTTTTTAAGGCTTAAAAATTATGGTTTTAGGTTTATTTGAAACCTAAACCTTCTTTGAGAGAAAACCACGAAGAAAAACTAGGTTGTGATGAATTTTTTAAAATCAAAGGGTTACTCAAAGTTAACCAAAATTGATCAAAACATCACCCATTGGTATTATATCTATTTTTGATGCTTTGCAAAGTTATTAGGGGGTGTTTTAGAAGATTTTGAGTATTTAGAAACATCTTTGAGGTGAAAGTTTGAAGGTTGAGCAATCAAACTCAAAATAAGTTATTTTTTTTATTGCTTTAGTAATTTGTATTATTTTGAGATGTATTCTTCAAGATCTAATAAGAGTGGTGACCCCTGTTTGAAATATGGCTATAACCAAAATCTTAATGATAAAAATTGCATAAAATGCAATTTTTGTTAAAATAATACAAAAGGGGCATAAACCAATTCAAGAAACATCTTGTCAGTATTAAGGGGGATATTGGCCCATATAAAAAGACTTCTGATGCTGTTAAAGAGGAAATAAAGAATTTTTTGAACTTAGTAAAAATGAAAAAAGATGAGAGATTTGCCTCTATAGCAAAGATTAGGTCTAGGGTTCGAGTCATATTTGATGATGATGAAAGTGATGAAGAACGGATTGGGGAGGGATGTCAAGAGGTTGAGCAAATCCATCATTAGGAGAAAGGGGAAGGGAGTTGTAATTGCTTATGGTTCTGGTTCTGGGAGTAAGAAGCTTCGGATTAGAGGCCCTATAGATAGTTTCTTACCTCGGCCTGACCCTGAGATTGCAGGAGAGAAAACAAAAAAGTAAACCACCATTGAAAATAGAATCAAGAAGGAAGAGAGAGATAGAGCTGCATATTATTTGGCTACATGGTTTTATGGGGCGGACATTCCTTTTAATACCTCTAACTTGAAGAGCTTTTATGCTGCAATAGAGGCACTTGGCCAATTTGGCACTGGGATGAAACCCCCAACCCCATATGAGCTTTCAGAGCATTTTTTTAAAAAAGGTAGTGAGTGCCACGAAGGAAGCTGTAGAACTTAAGAAAGATGCAGGGGCTTAGTATGGGGTTTTTCTTATGACTGATGCTTAGAGTGATAGAAAAAGAAGAAGTCAAATGAATTTCCATGTGAATTGTCCAGTAGGGATTGTTTTTTTTATGCCTATGATCATATCCATGATGCCCATTACATATTTCAAGTGATAGAAGAAAGAAATCAAGGAGGTTGGGGAGCATCTTTGTCACAGACAATGCTGCTCCTAATGTTGCTGCATCTAATTTGTTGCACATAGCTTATCCTAAAATCTTTTAGACACCATTTGCAGCACATTGCATAAACCTCATGCTTGAGGCTCTTGGCGGTTTAACTGAGATATCAGGTGCAGCAAAGAAGGCCAAGTATGTTACGAATTTCATTTATAGCCACCATATCACCCTTAACATGATGCGTACCTTTACAAAGAAGAAAGAGATTGTGAGGCATGGGGTCACGAGGTTTGAGACCTGGTACTTATGCCTAGATAGCATAAGAGTGCAGTTGAGCCAAATGTTTACATCGGATGAGTGGAGAGCATGCAAGTTGTTTAAGGCTCAGATTGGGAAGCAGGTGAGAGGTATTATACTTTCTAAGGCTTTTTGGCGAGGGATGAATGACGCTCTTAAGGTATTTTTTTCTCTTATCAAAATCCTTCACATGGTTGATAGTGACAAGCCTTCTATGTGATGCTATGGAGAAATGTAAAAGAGAAATAGCCCAAAATTTCAATGATGAAGAAACCCACTACAAGCATGTTTGGGAGATTATTGATAAGAAGTGGGATCGGCAGCTACATCGCCCATTACATGCAACTAGTTATTATTGGAACCCAGCTTTTTTTTATACTAACAATGATATACAAATAAATGACACAATTATGAATGTATTTAATGAGTGTATAGAGGTGCTAGTCCCTGATCCTGATATGCATGATATTATATGTGCTGATGAGCTGATAAATTACAAGTGCGCATTAAAGTCTTTTGGGAGTCCAATGGCGATGAGGCAAATGATCAAAATTAATCCAGGTATAAAATATTATAATATTAATAATATTCTTAAGTTCATCTTCATCAAGTTCAACTGTTCAAGTATCAAGTGTTTCTATTATTTATTTATGATTTTTATTTTATTTTTTGGCAGCCCATTGGTGGAGCCAACATGGGCGTAGTTTTCCAAAATTACAAAAGTTGGTCATTCGGATCTTAAACCTAACTACTTCTTTATCCGGTTGTGAGCGCAATTGGAGTATTTTGAAGAAGTAAGGCCATAAGGGTAATTTGTATAGTTTCATAAATAATACATGAACTATAGATATTAGATTTTAATTAGTTCACTTTCATTTGATTTTGTTAGCTTCATACAAAAAAAAAGAACATGCTTGTATTAAAGAAGTTCAATGACCTTGTCTATATCAAGTACAATCGATTCTTGAAGGACAGATTTGCTAAGAGAGATAATAGAGACCCCATCAGATCAAAAAATGTGGACAATGCTATGGAGTGGTTAGTTGATGATGATGATGAGATCGAGGGGCATGAAAAATTGACATGGAACATGGTCATTGATGCTTCAAGGACATTAGCTGACCCTCCTAAGGCTACTAGAGCTTTTGCACAGAGAACAAGGGTGGAAGAAGAGGCAGATTCATAAGAGACGGAGGACGATGAGTCGCAATATGTCGAGGAAGGTGACGACTCCGATGAATATGATGCCAATACAGGTGACCAAGATTTTCTGATGATGAATGAATTTTGATTGTTGAATAACTATTAAACTTTGTTACTTTGATGTTTGAACTTTGATTGAAGTATTGTGTATTGAACATTTGAACTATTGAAGATTCTTTTGAGTCTTCAAGTATTACTTTCATAGTTTTATAATTTGGTTGGTTGGAATATTTTAAGTTTTAATTGGATATGGATTATGGAGTATGAACCGACTTATGGATTATGGTTATGCTTATGGAATGTATGCTAAATACTAATATGTAGTATAATTTGAATATAACTGATAGTATGATACTCAAATAACTGCAGAATTCTTATTTGGATTCAACTGGGCCTGCCCAAGTTCTGGGCGCCCGCCTAGGCGCTAGGTGGCCTGGACTCCCCAATCCACCTAGGACCCGCATAGCGTTTTTTGAAACATTGGATCAACCACACAAATCATGTTTTTCCACTATGTTGTATAAAAGGTCATACCGGCAATCAAACCATAAGCCATTGTATCTCTTCTCACTACTTTTATCCTTTTGGGCTTTGACCTCTTGACAGCATTAATCCAGCTTCCTAAAAAAGACTAATTTTTTGGATCATGAAGCAATTATTGCTAGACTAATGGAAACTCGATGTCCAGTCTCCCAAAAGCGAAAAAAGGTGCAAAAATAATCAGAAAGCAGAATTCACTATTAAATTGGTATATATACAAAATTATAGTACATCACACAAGAAAGGCTGGAGCATGGAGGAGCACTATCCATCCCAATTCACTTTAATTATCTCTCTCTCTCTACATTTCTCTCTCATAATCCAAACATCAATTATTAGAACTACCAATATGACCCAAAAGATATTTGGCCTCTGAAATTGATCTGTGAATATCTAAGAGCTCTTCCTTCACCTTCTCAGAGACACACTGTTCATGCTCCAATGCTCGGCATTTCTTCTCTCTCACCATTTTCAAATGCTGAAGAACTCTTCTCTTCTCCAGCAACTCCACCTCGTAGACTTTGATCTCTTCTTCCTTGAAACCCAATTCAAATATCGCATCATGGCATTCTATTATGAGGCTTTCCATCTCTATCCTCCTTTCCTCTCTCATCTTTTCAATAATCGGCTTCTCTCTAACTACATTGTTCAAAGCAAGTTCTGCCTCCTCCAGTGCATTCAAACTAGTCCTCATCTCCACTTCAGCACTCAAAATCTCAGCCTCCAAAGACTCCAACTTCGCCTTCATTTCATGAGATTCATTTCTTGTGCTTACAAGCTTTTGCTGCAACTTTTTCATCTCAGATCTCAGATTGGTCCGATCCTCTTCAGATTTTAACAGATCTGCAGCCTTACCCATTTGGAATATAGAAGAAGGGTTCACAGTATCCAGTTTATGCATCATAGTGAGAGCTCGCTCTCTCTCTCTTCTTCTGTCGTCTTCCTCTTCTATCTTTAGCTTCAAACAGCCAAGCTCTTCTTTGATTTTAGATTCACTCTCTCTGGTCTTCAAGTATGTAGACTCCAGTTCATGCTTACGAGCTTGGAGACTTACCAGCTTTTCTCTTTTTTGCCCAACAACATAGGTTTCAGCCTCCATTTTTGACCTTGCTTGAGCTTCTCTCTGAGCCCAATCCTCATCTGATGTGCATATGTTTGTTACAGCCAATTTTACTGCAGAGAGTTTCCCAAACGCTTTCGCCTTTCTTTCGTCTGCTTCAGCATGAAGGTGTTTTAAGTTAGATATTTGTTGATCCAAGACCTGCAATTCTCTCTCTACAGCATCGATTTCTTTCGAAAGTTTTTTTCTCTCTCTGACATTGGTCTCAAACATGCTGAAAAACTTCATAGCCCCAGTTGCTTCGATCAGCTTGTGTTGCGCGAAGTCCAGTTTTCCTCCCACCATAATTAACTCCTCCCAGTTTGGCATGGTTTCTTCAAATTTTCCAGGATTTACTTCTTTATCAGAACCTTGTTCTTTCTCATCCAATGGCATAGGCTCTCCATACTGTTTCACATTTTTTAACCCTTCTGTTTCGTCCAGTTGATTTTGCTCTGTTATTTCTGTCATATCAATATCCCCCATTGATATACTAGTCTCTGCCAATTTGGCAGTGATTTCATCTATCTCAGGGTTCTGGGAAACAGGAGCTATACCTGGTTCTTCACCGTGATACTGCTTTCCTTCATCAACTTCAACAAGCTTCTCAGGGAAATTTTCTGCAATTTGCCTTGCTTCCTCTCTCTCAGATATACTCTTATCTCTGGCCCAAACCATTCTCTTGAATTCATCTCTCTCTTGCATGGCTTTCTCAAACAAAGCCATCAGTCTCTCATTCTCTTCATGCATCTCGTGGAGCTGGCGCTCCAAGTCTTCAATATTTTTCACATCATTCATTTGATTTTCAGTGTGTTCTTCGGTGAAACTGATCGGGTCCATCTGGGTATCTTCATTTTTATCTTCTGTAACCTTTGCAGAGCTCAGATTGCAACCTTCGGTCTTCTCTACTTGGTGGTTATCAGTGTGTCGATTGGTCTTATTTTCTGCTATAGCAACTTCATATAACTCAATCAATTTATTATTGTCTTCCAATAGAACTCTGAGGTTCGACCGAAGATCCTCATTCTCTTTGCAAAGTTCAGCTTCTCGCTGGCTTGCGGCAGCTATCGCATCAACCATGGCTTTAAGTTCCATCTGATCAGTAGATATTTCTGCCATAGAGTCTTCTGCTTCTAATTTTGAGGCCTTCTTTCTCTCTTCTTCAAGTTGCAATGTTAAATCATCCACTCGCCTGCAGATATTTAGAAAATGGAGAAAGCCTTAAAGTCTGTTCAATATTTTTATGAGAAAAAGACAGGATCCTCAAGTAAACTCATGGATTACACAAATTGATAATTCATATATTCTTTCATCATCTAATATTAAATAGTCAGCAAAAACTTTATTAATCAACCATTTTAATCTCTTTAGAAATGATAATATTACTATGACTATTCTGTAGCTTCAAGGCAGAAATCAAACACTAATGATAAAGTCCATTACCTTTCTAACTTCTCTTTAGCTTCAAGGCAGAAGTTCAAATTCTTACGCAATGCCTCTACTTCCCTCTGATTATGAATAACCTACAAAACATAAATGAATTTTGAATTGAAGGAAAGTAACAAAGTCATGGTAAGTAAAGAGAGGAAAGTTCAACTTGAATATTACCAATACCTGCATATGGAGGGTTTCATTTTCTTCCCTAACAGCAGAGAAATCCAAAGGTGATGGGTCCTGTGAGTTAAAAACATAACAATCTTATTTATTATTCATCATGCACAGGCAAACAATTATAGTACCAGACATTTTGTCCACTTTCTTGAATAACATAGGGATTTATTCAAAATCCTTTCTTTTCATTAATAGTGGACTCATCCAGAAGTCTGATATTCAAAAGTCACTTTCAGTTTCCCTTATATTATCAAAAAGGTTCACACAAAGCTTGATAATAGGATCTTTTCATACCTGACTGAGCAGCAAGAGATTATTGTTACTACTATTGAGATTGCCCAGGTCCAAGCTTCGTTTCTAGAAACACAAGAAAAACCCCAAAAGCCTCAGGAAAATGGAAAAAGAGTAGCAGCAGCATATGAAATTCCTTTGGAATAGCAAAACTACAAGTATACACCTGAACCATGTTAGTATCCTTATCATGCATCAGTTTCCACTCCAATGCTTCAAACAACTGCAAAATAAGATGTCTGGGTAAAAATTGAGAAAGGTGTCTTTTAAAAAACATAGATTTTGAACTCCTATCTAACGGAAAGAAAGGAAAACCTTATCCTGCAAGATTGAAATCTGCCCGGACATCATCTCTCGCTCCCCGTCCTCATGAAAAGACTGGAACCTGTTTGTAAAAAATGGATCACAATAATTGAAATTGTATCCTTCTCAACCAAGAATACTGCATCTCAACTATCTCATATGAGCAACTCTTAGATGAAGATTTAAAAATCCGAGGAGAGTCTGTAAAAATCACTTTGCAAAAGTGCTAAAATTACCTTGGCAAAAGCCTACTATATGTTAATTTACTTAACCAATAAAAGTATAAAAAAAAAAAATGCTTCAGATTTATTTTTTTCTTGAATAATATTAACAATGCTCATAAATATATGCCAAAAAGATAAGCAGAAACACTCAAAAAGAGAAGCACATACACTCAAAATGTTTCAGATTTAATTGTAGCTAAATTCCCTTTAAATAATCCCCATAATTGTCAAACTCGATTTTTCAAATTTAATTGTAGCTAAATTCTCTTTAAATAATCTCCGTAATTGTCAAACTCAATACTTTTACCTTCTAAGCTCCTCTTTCAATCTCAAGTTTTCCATGGCAAATCTAGTAACTTCTTGGTTCCTATCTACTTGAGTACGAAGAATTTCAATCTCCTTCAACAGTTCATTCTTTTCTTGCAAAAGGTGAGCTTCTGCAGAGATCTTAGCAGAAGCGACTGCCTCCAACCTTTTTATTCCTGCTTCACGAAACCGGAGTCTCATTTTTAAACTCTGAATCTCTTCTTCCCTCTGTTTGGTCTGATGCGAAAAAATATTCCATGTGTAAATTTGACAACCATATAACATCAAAATAATTAAATAAATCAACTTTTCCACCTTTGACTCTAGTGCATTTGAGTAACAATAAAAGATAGAGTAATACAAATAAAAATAATAATATCAAGCTTATTAATTGATTTATCTCACTGGCTACATTTGTGTGTAAGACAATGGGCGTTACTCACCAGTTGCATTGCCGCTTGATTTTCATCAACCAATGCTTTCATTGCTATTTCTTTGTCTTGTGCCATTCTAAGAGCTCCAACAAGTGCAGTTTCAAGGTCCCTTCTCTGGATACACAAAAAAAAATCAAACAAAAACACTAACTTAATAATTGATACATTTATTATAATCTAAATACTTCATGTCAATTAATTGCCTTCTATTATTTACATACATGCACAAAGTGCCCGTCACATGCATAAACTCATTAAGGATTAAAGAAACAACCAATCTTCAATTGGTTTAAAAATTCACAGCTCCATTTCAAAATGAATAGAGATGGCAGAATGACTAGTAAACACCTGAGACACTTTCCCCTGAGATGTGAGTGGACTCAGTGATCCCTGCAAATCATCCCATTTAAAGGAGCCTGGGGAGCCAGGGAAGCATACACTCAAACTATCACTATCCTGGTTCTCAGTCCCTCCATTGACCACACCTCGCAAACGATTAACCTCTTTCTGCAAACAAATGAAGCATGGGAGTATTATGCAGGGAAAAGATTAAAATCTTTTAAAATTGGTCCAAGGAGAGGAGGAGAATTCATGGTAAAAATTGGAAGAAATACCATCAACATGATGGAGCTCATTCTTGATAAGAAAGTTGCAATGATAGTAACTTTGTATCAATATAAGCATCCTCATCATTTAAAAGCAGCTCAAATATATGCTGAACAATAGAAGAACACCATTTCCAGTGAACGACATTTGTATTGATCAGCATTTTTAGAGCAAACTATGAGGGGCTAATTTTCATTCTTATTAAAAGGGAATTTTTGCGTAAAGATCTTTAGCATTTTAAAAGGAGTGAGATTCTGAAGAAACTAGAGGCATTTGTTTAGTTTGTAAAAACCAAGGAGAAAAACAAGTAGAATTTGAAAGCAACTCCCTGTACAAATTAGCAACAAACCCCAGAGTTGGACCTAACCTTTAGCTGTTGAATCTGGATACGCATTGCAAGGACATCTCCTGAAGCATCTTCATTCACAATTGCCTAGAAATCCAATGGCAGAGGTCCATATTTGATAATTAGCCTACTTAGAAAATTGTTAAAAGCAGAACATGGATGTAATTTCGGGGCATATTTTCACATACATTATTCCTAATAAACTTAGCTCGCTGGGCAAACTTGAGGGTGCTAAGTGTTTCCAATGCACAACTGTAGCAAGCACAGAGAAACTAATCAGTACCACCATCTCCTGAAAAAAAATTATGCATCATGCTATCTTCTCTTTTGCAAAAAATAACATACTAGGAAAGCATACTATACTAACCAATTTGATGGGCTTATATTTGCAATAATGGTTGTTTTTGAGTTTCCCCCTAAGGAGTCCTGAAAAATAAAACATTATCTTATGAGTTACATGTCATGCCAAAGAAATAAAACGATTTAGGAATGGTCCAGCCATTAGTGGCTAAAGTACTGAAAACTTCCAAAGCCCCTCTAAGAACAGTTATGGTACATTTCCTTAGTTTTTCCAGAAATCCAGGTAATCAAGGAAACCGTGTAATACATCAGAACTTCTTTTGAAATGAATTCCAGTGGTCAACCAGCAGATAATCTATACCAAAGAAAACACAGATAATAAGATTTAGTGCATTACCTGTAATAGAAATGTCAGTTTAGAATCACGATACGGTACATGCAAAGATTTCCCATTTGAAATATTGACAAGATTCATGATTACGAGCCTGTGAAATTCAAATCAGGTACAAAAATGTTATAAACGAAAGAGGAAACGATATAAATACATATGTAGAACTTCTAAAGAAGCTTTTAAAAAGAAAGAGGTGGTCAATGCAAGTACCCCAATGTGGAAAGTGATTTGTTGATGTTGGTTGCCTCTTTGAGGCGTTCACCTTCAGCACCTGAACTCTTTTGCCTGTAGTCAAAACATTATTTAATTCCTCATCAAATCTAGTCCAGAATTTTGGTTAGGAGTTTCATCGACTAATACAATATTGCCCAAATAAAATATTACCTCTCTGACCCTGCAAGGTCCACTAGGTTTAAACGAGCGAACCTATGATGGGTTACACCCTGTGCTTCCCACTGCAGAACATAGATGTTAAAAAATGACAAGAAGCGTTCGTCTATTGAAGTTATGTAGTTTCATGATAATGGAAAATTTCAAAATGAAAATGACAATTAAAAAAGTATCCATAGCATCGAGTACTATCAATGCAGGTTCAACAGGATTAAAAGCACAAATATAATAAAAGATATTACCATTTCCCTACTGCCATCCATAGTCATTAACTGCATTTTCAAATACGATAAACAAAAAGAAGAGAGGGGGAGGGGGGGGTTGTGGTGGGTGGAATGAACTCACCTTGCTTTCAATGACACATGTAAATACACTGTGGGAACGACTACTGGCATGGTTCATATTTGTGGCAGCAACTTTTCGATTTGCAGCACCCTAAGCATGCATTTGAAATATTTTAAAGCCACAATTTCTAATAGTAACAAAAAAATAATATTCTTAAGCAAAAATAAAGGAAAATGGAAATGCATGGGGGATACTGAAAAGCAAGCCATAACAAACAATAAAAAAATGTGTATACAGTATACGCACAATACTAAGAAACACTAAACTCAAATTGTTTATTATCTAGTACTATAATATAGATCACTTATTACCTGCAATTCACAGTTTGCCATAGTCCTTGAAGAGTAAATATAAAAAAGAATACCCAATATTGTACTACTCAATTGCCACATCCACCAACAGACAGAAATTAATTAGGAGTTGGATGAGTCATTTAATGTCTAACCCACCTGAACAAGTTGTTGGAGGACATCGCGAGCACTGTTGACCTCAAACTCAGTGATATTCTCCACATACACACCCTTCTTTGCATCTTCTCTTATCTACAGGCAGAAAATACCTTTTAGATCAATGCAAGATCACTGACAATGAAATTTAAAATCGAATAAATTATTTTTTGAACGGCGAGTGCTAAAAGTTGATCATTTTAACCAGGTATTGTGCTAAATATTACTTCAACAAAATTAAAATACAAAACCTGCAAATTTGTTGATGACGGATCCAGAAGATCAAGTATTTGTTCATTGTATATTTCCAAAAATGAGCATTTACAAGTAAATCTCAACTTTTCATCCTTTCGAGCTTCCTTTTCCTGACAGGGGAAAATTAAGAAACTAAGAGAAAAATTTTGACTATCAGAGAACTCGGATGTCAGCATGTCTCAAATTATTGTTCAGGAAAATGGAAAAACGAGATATGCATCAGTCAAACCCTGTATGGTGTAATTCATGGGATACTGAACAGGCAAAAACAACTCATTCACAGCTTCATGGGAAAGTTACTCAAGTTAACAAGTGCCTGCCATAGGTTTATGGGAAAACTTCATAAATGTGTACCCTATGCATCACATGGTTTGGGGTAAAAATTGATAGCCATAAAGCTATATGTTATGTAATGCATCAAAGTAAAAGATACTGCAAAATGTCATGTGGGTCATCATGGCAGAATATCTAGCAAATTTAATCTTTATTTATTCTTAAATGGGTCCTATAAAAACTAAATTCATAAAGCCCAAGGGATATCCATTACTGTTTTCTTTCATTACAGATCAATAAAGAAGAAAGTAACATCATTTTGTAAATTCAGGAAAGCGTGAGTTTTTCATTCAAATGCATGTTTGGGATCAATTCGATAACCATGGGTTACCTTTAAATTTATTTTGAAATAACTCAAATAAACACTTCTCCTGAAACCAGCAATAATTATTCACCTTCTAAAAAAGAATAGAATGGAAACGTTTTATACTCAAACAATCAACAAAATGTCTCTTCTTATAATTGACAAAATGTCCCCAATTTTTTCATGTATAATCTTCCTCATCAAATAGAGGGCGCAAGTTGGCACTGTTAGTCTCAACTTGTACAAGCAGGATTATTGTGATCACTTGAAAGTTCTTGTATTGGCAGTTACAATGAATGAAACAAAAAGCAATTTAGGATCAAAAGCTTTGAGAACTATATCATTTCGTCATTATCATATACAAGAAGTGGAGTGCTAACCTTTTGGATCCTTGAAAACAAGAGTTCAAATACTCGAGGTGTCATACCACAATTCACACTGTGCCTTCGAGTGCCTCCCTCAATATCTCCAAGCATTGTATGTGTCTTTCCACTACCGGTCTACAAACAAAGAACCTTCCTTTTGGTAAAAACTTAGTAGCATAGATTTGTCACATTTTAAAATGCTTACTATAAGTCAAATATTATGCAGCAAAAATTGACTCAGATTGTAAACATAGAAAGTAATAATAATATATATGTTTAACACCATCAACATATTAATTTATATGCGTGACACCATCTGTATTCCCATCCACATCAAGTGTTAATTTTTCTGTATGGGTGAAGTAAAGTCTCACACAGCCTACAGGTCATTTTAGTATGCTAGCCTGCTAGATAAATATGTACTAATGGATCCTTTATTCCTAGCTTTCGATGCCCTCATCACAGGAGTCTTTATAGGTATTCAATGTGATTTTCTAAGGCACTCTTCTTGAAGATTTCCCCATGTTGTTTCTTCAAGAACTTGGAGGATTTTTACTAATCTAGTTATATTTTCTTACTATTTCATTTACTTGCTAGTTAATGTTTTTTAATGATTTTCAGCTTTAAGACTCCATATATGTGATAATTTTTATTTTCAAGACCAGGGACCATGGATTTATGGCAGGGGACAAGATATAAAGTATACCCATTGTTTAATTAAATGATGTTTCCGCATAGGGGTAAAGGATTTTCACCTTTTGGCCTTGGGGGCATTCTACAGGTAACTTGTTCTCAGAATGACAGAGCAAACATGATTCTTAGCAAAGCTGAGTAACTCACTTGGCCATAAGCAAACATGCAACTGTTGTATCCACCTATGCAATTCTCCACCATTGGCAACCCAGCCACTTTGAATAGCTTCTCCTATAATTCAACACAAGAAATTCTCTCAATGTTTGTGGCCACTAAGATCCAAAGATACGCAACAACGCAACGTGCATGCCAATGTTACAGAGAGGGACACAGAGTAAGCATGTTACCTGGCTAACAAACTCATCAGCTAAAACGTCAAAAGTAAAGCGAGTCTCAGGATGTCCGGTCCAAGTAAGAGATTGGACACTATCCTGTTTAACGCATCTGTTGTGGCCCTGAAGAGAAATCTCAGAACTACTTAAAGGCCTGATACGAATCACCACCTGCACAAATCACAATTGTAAGGGTAGTACCCAACTATTTCCAAAAGCAAATCTTTCCATGAAGAAATTCAGGTAATCGTAAAGATGCTTCACCTACAAAATGAAAAAAAAGAGAAAATGAATTTAGTGGTGCTAGCCAACAACTCTAATAGTTGGTGTTGCAAAAAGTATTGAGATGAATCCAAAATCAAAGATTCAGATATTCAGATGATCAAAGAGATGCTTCGACCCCAAGTAAAAAAAAAGAGAGAAAAAAAAAGAGATTTCAGGCAGTGCTAGCCAACAATTGCTAATTTGTTGGTGTGGCAAAAAAATTTCGAGATAAAACCATTCGCTTTGTTAAGTCAAAATTACATCATTCAAATAATCGAAAACCAAAATCAAATTACCATTGATTCTCGAACTCTAATCAACATCAGACAATTTCCCAGTGTCTCCAAATGGTTCAATCATTTCTCGTATTCATGCCAAACAAAGTTGAACACATAAGAGAAATTTGCACCAACTTGAACACACTGAAAAACAAGAATAGAAAATAAGCAAAAAAAGAAAAGAAATAATCGAAGTGAACAAGTACCTGAACATTGTGGTCTTTCCAGAAAGATGGATCTTCGTGGATTTCAAAACTCTGAACCCTAGATCCACCATCATGGCTCTCCCTCTCTCTAATGCTACTAATAGGTTGAACTAGCAACTCTTTTGAAGCCGATTTTGCCAAAGCAGGTGAACATTCCACTTCTGATGAGGAGACATGCGCTTCCTGAAATCTGAACCTACTTCTAAAAGCACTTGCTGTCTCTGAAAAAGTTGGCATTTCCTCTGTGTACCCAAGAAGAAGCCCTCAACTGCAAAACGCTAGAAATCCAAAACCATAAGAACCCAAAACACTAGAATCTAGCGTTCTTGAAGGCCATGAAAATCACAGAGAAATGGCAGAAAAATGTAGAAAAAAAGAAATTAACAGTTGAAATCTCAAAACCGGTCAAGAACTCTATAGCACATAATATGAAACTAGGGTTTCAGAACAAAACTCTGATCAAATTAGGGTTTCCAGTGAAAATCCTAAGTAAAATGGATGAAATTAGGGTTATGTGAACAGAACTAGGGCAATGAGAAGATTGAAAATGGTTTTTTTCCGCATTTGGGTTTGAAGCAGAGGTGCCCAAGCCTTTTGTGTGGAGCTTTTGGTAATTAAGAAATTGTTTGAATATGGCAATCAACGGTCTAGATTGCTCAAGATTAACGGTCATTATAGATGGATGGGTTTTGAATTCGTGGACCGTTTGATCCGTAAGGTTTCGTTTATAAACGAGAGCAGTTCGAACATTTCTCATAATTTACTATAATACCCTTAGGCTTTTTTGAAAATGACAAATTGTTTCCCTTATGGATTTTTTATGTTTGGCCCTGGGGTCATGTCGCCTTTCGTGTTTTACAATCGAAATTATATGCAATCATACCATTCCATTTATCTTTGATTCAAGGATGTCATAAGTACTTATAATCATCCAATGTAAAATTTAATGGTTTGAGTGTGTTACCAAGATCAAAAAAATTCCTTTTGAAGTTTGAGCTTGGTTAATAGAATAAATACAATCATCCAATTTTACATTCAATGGTTATGATTAATTGTGATTACTTGTACAAAAAATAAACGGTCTTATCGTATACTTTTCCTTTAAAACCTATAATCAGGTCCCTATGTACTTATTTTATTGGCCTCATAGGCCAAAAATTGGTATAAAAATAAAGAAAATTTATCAAAATAACCATGAGAGCTGCATTATTTGGCATTTTATATTTTTGGTACTATTTCAACTTATCATCATATATGTTTTTTTTTGGTATTTTGAAACTAAATCAAATAGTACAACTATAATGTTAAACCATTCATCTTAAATAGTTCATCTCACATAGATATTTTGATGATTTCCCTAAAAAGTAATGATAAATAATAGTATGGCCAAATTTCAAGGGGTGGGACTTAGATCACCCACCCAACAAAATTTGAAGGATTATTTTTTTCCTTACCAGCTCAATCTTGTTGCCCCTAGCAACAAACATGCATGAACCATCTCGTAGAGTACAGGTCCGATTCTAGTCCGGATTGGGATTCTAAATTTGGAAAATTTCCTGTTAAAATAACCTACTTGGTTGTCAAACTAATTTGAAATTTAGAGAAGGAAAATGTTTTGACAAGGCTGCAGCCCCATCAAAATAAGTAAAGTCCCCTATCTCATAACTCATAAAAAATTGCAAGTCAAGCATTAGAAAAGCTTTACAATGATCATCTCAGCTTGAACATTATGGTTGTGAAAAAAAAAGATAGGATTTCAAGATCTAAAAATAACATATATTAATAATAGATTTTCTAAGCCATTCATTTCACCCTAAAAATAGGTGTTTAGGATCCGCACGATCTGCACCATTGAGTTTTGAATTTTCTTGTCAGTATTGGAAATTGATTTTAGAGCCATCACACCGATTTCCATTGCAGAAAGTACTTTTCGGACGAGGATGTGAGGTGAAGCTTTATTTTGTTTTCATAAAGCCTATGCCTTATAGAAACTTCATCCTTTAATACAAACTTTGAAATTCCATAAAATTTCCTACAAAAATAGAAATATCATATGTAGCCTTTACAAAAAAATAAAACAGTAAAATCCTGCTGATCAAAGCATTTTTGTCATCGATTCCCTACATGGCAGGTTGGTACAACACTGCCAAACTTAGATATCTTGTAAAGCATTTAGAAAAGAAAAAAATCTATATAATTGCAAGGCTCTAAACAATCAAATCAAGGCGCACCTCAAAAATTCATTAGAAGATGTTTCAATGCCCAAAATAACTCAAATTGATCATCTCAACCTCAAGATGTACGGACATGCCAAAAAAAATGGATTTCAATTCTTGGAAATATTGAATCTTATAATGTATTTTTGGACTGTCAATTTTCAAGTGTTCATAGATATGAAAATAAATTTCAAACCATAACAAAGATTTCCAATATTGAAACAACATCTTTCGACACTATTTGAAAGAATGCCTTGCTTTGATGGTTTAGAGACTCGGCCTTATAAAAACCCCACCTGAACCTTTAGAAGAATGTCATAATACAAAGAAAAAGGTGGTTTAGAGCCTCGGCCTTATAAAAACCCCACCCGAACCTTTAGAAGAATGTCATAATACAAAGAAAAAGGTTAAGGTTATTTGGGCCTTCTAAGAGAAAATTAAAAGGTCTCCCTCGACCACATCCATATATCTACCATTAAACCAAAGCTTAAGGGGACCGAAATATATAGTGAACCTATAGGTCCTTAGTAGCATTGGCAAAGGAGAACAGCCAGTAATAAGTAGGGTTTGAAGATAATATCGACCGAGGAGAGGCGGCCCAGTGCGGGTCTGGATAAGAGATCGAACACAAGTATAGAGGTATGTTGTCATCCCTTTCCACTAAACTAACAGCTATCTTATCTACAATACAATCTAATGATTGAAATAAATTGATGAGAATTGGATACCATAGATTTTAACAATCGGATACAATTGCAATCGTTATAAGTTTATTCATGTTTTAGGAATTGGGCTTGTACTTAATTGGTCAGTTTTTAAGTATTGCAACATTACATCTCAATTTCGATTCCCAAATTATCCCAAAAAAAAAAAAGATAGAAAGAAAAAAGAGGCGGTTCTCATACTCCAAGCTTTCTGAGCCTTGAGCTGGCTATCAGTTTCGATGAGTGGACTTAGATCCAAGAAAAGTTTGTCTTGCCTAATGTCTGAAGGGCAAGCTTTCCATGCTTCCCCTACCGCATAGAAGTTTTATCCTCCCCCTTATCCAACCGTCATTTCTAAATTGAGGGCTAAGATTGCCTCAATCACAATGTCATGTCTCTACACTATTTTATTTTTAATATTTTTTTTAAACTATTTTAACACCAAATTTTGGCTGTCCATTTCTCTATTAAACTCGCATTACCAAAAAATATAAAAAAGTATTTTTAATAAAATAAAATTATCAAAATACCCCTGAAATTTTCAAGGGGTACTTTGGTTATTATATTTTATTGAAAATTTATTTTTAATATTTTTTATAGGTGCGCCCTAATGAGAAGATGGTACATACCAAATTTCATATTCATACAATTTGTATTAAAAAAACTAAAAATAAAATACTTTGAGACGTCAAATCTAAGATCAAACGGTAAATGACTCTCTTGATTAAAATTGGACGGTTTGATGGTAGGGGAAGGATAGATCTTCTATGTTGTAGGAAAAACATAGAAACTTTTCCCATGTCTAAAATCATGGATCCAAAAAAATTTCATGTTAAGACCTAATATCCACAATCATAGTCCTAACAACCAGTTTCGATATACTACTTTGGGGTATTTTTTATTTCTTTTGCTTTTACTTGAAACATTAAAAGACATAATTTTGTCACTGATTCTGGTTCTTTATGTCTATTCAAACCAGCATTACATTTTGGGGAAAGTATACAAAGAAATCACTTAGCACAAGAAGGAAATCACTTAGCACAAGAGGGAAGGACAATCTCATTCCTGCTGTCGAATTTCAAATGGGCAATTATGAGTATATTATTGGCTAGGTTCACAATTTGAAGAAAAACAAAAAAATTGAACTTTAGAAAAAAAAAACTCAAGCTGTTCAATATGAAATCAAATGGCCACAGGTGTTTGTGACCTCTTTGTGATAAAGGTAAATAGTCTCATATTATACAATCTCTCATTTCTGCTTCTCGTAAAAATTGCCTACTAAGGATATGTTGGACTTATTATAAATACCACTGGTTTAAAAATGGATCAGTGCCCCGAATCGGGTGCCCCAAAAGCCCATCCGGATCGGTGAATCAGCGATCCAGATCGGGAATAAGCCGAATCTGTCGGATTTAGCCTTAAAAAAAATATTAAAAAATTATTAAAACTTATTATAAATGTTGTTTTTTATGAATCTAATAAAAAATGAAGGTACTCCATTAAGAACTTTCATTTTTTTGCATCAATATGCGAATATTGGGATGTTTTTTTTTTGTATGAACTATTGTTAATCATTAAATTTACATCACACAAAATGATAAACATAGAATTATCATAGATGAAGTATATCATCATTTATGGACTAAATAATGGATTAAATCGATGAAAAATGGCCACCAAAATATCGAATTGGCAAAAGACCCTAATCCACTAAAAAAACCAATTATTACAACCTAACTAACTATAATCTAAAATTATTACAACCTAACTAACTATAATCTAAAATTATTACAACCTAACTAACTATAATATTATATTTAAAGTGAAATTATTGGTTTATATTTTATAATTATTTTACTATACAAATAATAACAAATCCAAAATATCTTATAATATCATCCAATTTAAAATATATTATTGACAACAGTAACAAAAATAGTATATTGCATAATTTATAAAGCAATTATTTTTTCAAAAATCTTGTTTTTTAGGTTTCTAGAATAAATTTAGTGGAAGAGATTGTTAGTAAAGAGATCGAGAGAGATTTCAAATAGCCTCATTGTATAAACCCTATCTTTAAATAAATATTCTTAAATTTATGTTAAAGACTGCTTTGTTATAAAAATAAAAAATACAATAGACCATTTATTCCTAAGTAAAAAAATAATAATAATAAAAGAAAAGAAAAGAAAGAAGCTAATAATAGGCATTCATATATAAGAGAAAAAAGAGCTAATGTGCTTCAAGCCTATATTATATTACCTTTACCTATGTAATTTAAGATTACGATAATCGCAGCTCAAATGCGTACTTGAAAAACATGATACTTGTTGTATTACTTGTTATTTGTTTTTTGACAATAAATACTTGTTGTATTATCATTTTCTTCTTTTCTTTGACAAGAAAAATAAGAATATGGTGTTGCCTAGGTATCTTTTATTTTATTTTTTGACAAAAATAGTTTGTTTTTGTCAAGAAACATAAGAAGATGGTACCTTTTATTTTGTTTTATTTTTTAACAAAAAGAAAATATTTTTTACAATAAAAATAAAAAGATTGTACGTTTTATTTATTTATATATTTATTTTTACTAAAAAGGATGTTGCACAAGTTTGGTCTAGAGACCATGCAAGAGGGTGGGTATTAACTTTCATAATAAAATGTTATATTACCTTTTTAAGCTGTTACAGTGGGAATTATCCCACATCGAAAACTTTAAGGAAAATTAACATGTATAAAGAACTTGAGCGATTCATTTG